ACTTTAGAAACTGAACTGCTTGCTCTTGAACAATCCATGAGCCAATGAAGAAATAAAAGGCAAATTTTAAAATTTCTTGAAACAATTAAGCTGGAAAGACAACATACGAAAGCTTTTAGGATAGGGAAACATAGTACGAAGAAGAAAATTTAGAGAAATAAAGGCCCCTATGTCCCCCAAAAGTAGAAAAGTTTCAAGTAAACCCAAGGAACTAGAAAAACAATACAAATCAAACCAAAAATTAGTTAAAGAAAGAAGCAACAAAGACCACAATAGAAACAAACAAATACAATAGAGACTTAACAAGAATACCAAAGTGGAATGAATAGTTGGTTTTGAAAAAAGAGACAAAATTGAAAATACTTAGCTAGAATAACCAAGAAAAAAAGAGAAGAACCAAATGAAAAAATATCAGAAATGAAAAAGGAGACATTAAGAAAAACTGATACCTCAGAAATGCAAAAGATTAGGAAGTATAAAGAACTACAATATTCCAATATTTTGGAAAAACCTAGAAAAAATGGCTAACCTGCTAGACACATATAACTACCAAAACTGAACTATGAGGACACAGAAACCCAAAGAGACTAATAATGAATTATGAGACTGAACCAATAATAAAAAGGTCTCCCAAGAAAAACCACTGCAGCACCAAAAGTTTTCACTGTTGAATTTTACCAAACTGTTAAACAAGAGCTAGTGCTAATCCTTTTTAAACTATTTCCAAAAAGAAAAGGAACTATTCCTGAAACAAAAGGAATCTTTCCAAATTAATTCTATGATACCAGCATTACCCTGATACCAAAATCAGAGAAGAGAATTTAAAACTATGGAAAGCAAGAGGGAAGGAAGGAAGGAAGGTAGAAAAGAAGGAAGGAAGGAAGGAAGGAAGGAAGGAAGGAAGGAAGGAAGGAAGGAAAGAAAGAAAGAAAGAAAGAAAGAAAGAAAGAAAGAAAGAAAGAAAGAAAGAAAGAAAAAAGAAAAAAGAAAAAGAAAGAAAGAAAGA